TGGCAGCACCGCCCCGGGGCAGGCGGCAGCGGCGCTGGGACGCCTCGGGGCAGCGTTCAACGCAAGCCTGACCCCGGTGCTTCGGGTTAGAGAGCGGGGTTGCCTGTTGGCTGGAGATAGAAGTTACTTCAACCGTCTTAGAAGAGCCTCCCCGCACGTGACAAGGGTCTCTTAGGTCGTGTTTCTGCTCCTTTAGCCCCAAAATATGAACTTACCTGTTGCAGCAGCACTCTGACATTTATTAATGCCAACGGTACCACCGCACCACACTCACCCGTGTCTCGTGTGCACCACTGGGATGGTATAGAGAGACCTTAATGTAAATGCTGACCTGCTCTGCTCTTGAGAAAATCTCCAGCTGACTAACAGCTTCCTAAGTTTGGAACAGATCTCTTGCAAAAATATTTTTTCTGCAACTGAGACATGTACTGAAATTATCAACAATGAAACATTTACATATCAGAGGAGAAAAGTGCAGCTATGGCTTAAAATCCACGTAATTTTTAATTCAAAGATTACCAGCGTTATTAAACTAACTAACAATAATCCATCTAGCAGGCTGCAATGCATCTGATTCATCTAGAAAGCTGTTCCAGTAAAAAGATTAACTTATACACAGAGCTGAAATGTACAATTAGCTGTCATTACAGAACATCCTTTAACAATCACAGCCAGGTGAACATGGTTATTCACGGTTTGTGGATACACAAATTGGTGTTCTCTAAAATAAAACAGAAGTTCTTGTATTTTTCTAGAATGAAGCGTATGCACTGGAAAACAATGAACTACCCTGACTGGAAGTGAGGAAATGGTGACCAGTACTTGTCCTACACAGTTTTTTCTTCTTCCTTCCATTGCTGTTCTATGTCAGTACTTGGTGACTTGACCTTCTGTTGCACAACAAGCACATAAAAAAGATGCTAATTCTGTCTCCTTCTTCACTCCACGTAGCTGCTGCTGACATGGCAACACTGATAGCCAAAATAAATTTTGATCTGAGCATTAGGAGCAGCTTATCTTTGAATGAAACAAAGCAAGTACAAACACAGAAGTACACAGAAAGGATTCACTAATCGCCTGTCTTGCAAGACGCAATAGACAAACTAAAATATACAGTGGCAGGAGTTGTTTTTAGAAATCACTTTATAGAACTTGCAGAGAAAAGTGGAATTCAGGAAGTAAATACTGGAACTAAAAACACTTGAAATTACAACCAGTTTTCAAATGTACTACAGGTACATCTGTTATCCACTGATGAAAGTCAGTGATTAGATCCCATAATGCTGAGACTCTCCTACTTCATCTCTTGGGCTGTGGTTCCAGAAAAGTAAGAATTTATTGGATTTATTTCTTCAATCACAAAAATCTTGTTAACATACCATCCCTTATATCATGAGGTTTAATGAATAAACAAGAACCTGTGGACCTACTACATGGAGATTTTCAAAAAGCCTTTGATGAGGTTCCACATCTGAGGTGGCAGAAAAACAAAGTTGTCACAGGATTGGAGAAAAGGTCACTTTACAGATTTGCTAAAGGTCTACAGGACACAAGAGTTATGGCTGTTTCAAGGGCAGGAAGGAAAGAGCACAGCATAATGGTAATTTTTCAGGGTAAAGAACAGTTAGCAGTGGGGATTGGTGGCACCAGTTCTAGTCAATATCTTCATCAATGATCCAGAGAAAAGAATGCCCACACAGCGAAGGCAATGCTAAACTTCTCCAGGTAGTTACATGACATCCAGAAGGTAAATAAAGCCATAAGGAGCTCATGAAAAGGTGTCAAATGAGCTTCTACATAGATAAACGCAAGGCAATTCATTTAGGGAAAAATTCAGCACCAGGCATACATGGTGCTGAATTCACATCTAGCAACTATCACTCAGAAAAGTGATCTTGGAGTCATTCCTCCTTGATGGTTCTCTGAAATCATCTGCTGAATGTGCAGGGCCAGCCAGAAAAAGCAAACAAAATGGTGGGCATCATCTAAAGAGGTACTGAGAACACAACAGAAAGCATCATTTTGGCACTATTTAAAACCTTGGCCCACCCCTCTTCTCCAGTGCAGTGCATGGTTCTGGCCTCAGTGCATGGTTCTGGCCTCCAGATGTCCATAAGAATATCCTGAAGTTAGAGAAGATGCGGAAGAGGTCAACTAAAATGACCAAGGCAGTGAAGCACCTAACTTACATGAGAAATATAAAAAGATGGGAACTCAGCTTGGAGACTGAGAAGGATACAATCAAGAATAAATTCTGTAACACAAGAACTAGTGGCACTCGCTGAAATAAGTAAGAGATCAGTTCAAAAGTGGTAAAAGTCCTTCTTTACCCAGTGAATGCTAACAATCTGTAACCCGCTGCCACAAGGGCTTATGGAGGCAGATTGTGTCAGGAAATTCAAGAGAAAAAAAATTAATGGCAATATGAATGAATACTAAAGGCTGGGACAAACTCGTTAACATCCTTAATCCAATTGCAGCTGATGCTGCAGAACTATGAGGAATGCAAACAACATACTAATGAGGTTAGTATGCTCTTCCTAAATAACATCTCTTACTGTCAGAGAGATGTTGGGCTGTCAGAGATAAAATGTTGGGCTTGTACTACCAGTCTGGCCCAAGAAGGTGTTTTTTATGCCTTTATGTTCCTTTTGTGTGCTCTGAGACAAAAGATGCTGAAGTCGCACAGCTGTTTTTGCAGTACTGTGTCCATGGTAAAACTGCAAAGCAAGACATTGTTTTTGTGGTTCTTTTTTTGACGATTAAGGCACACTTTGTCATCTTGCTCATTTTCCATTGTCCTGTGCAAACACATAGTCAGCACTATTACATTTACAGTTATGGAACAAGCAGCATGAAAGATTGAGAAATAGCATAACGCAAGCTAGTTGACCACAAAACAGATTATTTTTTAAAGAACAGATATGCAACTCAGTGTCATCCTGGTGATTATATTTTAGAAGCAGATATTAACAATGTTATATGAAATAACCTCCGTGCCTGCTTTTTAGTCCTTCCTTTTTGCAGAAAATCAGTTTATTTTCTTCTTTTCCCTTTTTATAGACTCCACACTGGGCTAAACCCATAGTTCATCCACCATTCAAATGTTCAGCCAGTTTGGCTTCCATCAGAAGAGGCCATTTTGTACACTTAGTGATGATTTGTAGTCAAAAAACATGAATCAGACTTCAAAAATTAGAAACAGTGGCCTAAAGTCCAGTGGAATTCAATTAGTTTTATTTGCCTTCCATTTTCTGAGCCTGTGTGACACCTTTTGATCCTATTTCCTCAAGAAATATGAAGTCCACAAACTTAAGAGTTCTGTTTGTGTCAGGGAAAACTGCAATTGGCATTACTTTCCATCAAGAGTTGAGGCCTTAAGAAAAATACCAGATGTTGCAAAATAAATGACTATATTGGAAGTACTGGTAATACTGGAATAGAAATAATAGATGAAACATCACTGGGTCTCAAGCTTAACCCCAAATTCTAGCCAGAATTTTCATAGCTAATAGGAGTAATCAGACATAGTTTTCAATCTGTTCCTTCAGGCAGAGAAAGCAAGCTGTGAAACTTGAGTTGGCATTCAGATGTCCTCTGAATTTTGTAGCTTTGATTCAAATTTGTTTCCAGTGTGATACTGGGAGAGAGAGG